AATTAAAATGAACTTTTGCCCAATATTAGTGGATGCTATACATGTGCCAGTTGCAGCTTAGCAACATGCTAATGTCAGACATTGTTTATGAGTCCCTTGTGAGCTGCTGTCTAAAAGAGTATTTTAATTCAGACACTAATAAGATTTACAATGTAGCTGCCTATGCAGATGGTAGACAGCTAGGCAGCTCACTAGGGTTTGAAACAGAGCCAATCAGTGTATAACAATGTGACAAATCATAAGACAAAGTTTTTCATAGTTGCGATCCAATTAAGATGCAAATACATGTAGATTTCTTGCAATAATGACAATTTATAAAATTTGATCCCATTAATTTGTAGTTAATGTTCAAAGCACATTCCCAGTTAAGTTCGCATTTTAACGAATGAAATGAACATTGATTGTGGTGTTTGATAGAACATCAGAAATTTGCTGAGATCAAGGGGCATTGTGTTGGGGATCTGGGTACCCAGTGTTTCAGAGGCTGGACAGAGTGTGTTCATTATTCACAGTAATTGTGGCAGAGCTGAATAATGTCTCAAACTGTCTCTGAGCGGCGAGGTTAATTATCATCGAAAACAGATGCCATGAGCTTGAGTAGCAGAGCGTTGGGAGAATAACCAGAGCTGTTGTGTAACAGTCATTTTCTTTTGTTGCTCCGAGTCAACCAAGCTGTGTAACTGCAGCGGTGCAGAGACCTTTCCGAGCCAAGATGGTCGGGTTCAAACTGTTGAACCTGTCAACCAGCCTCAAGGCTTGAGGGGAACGCTCTCAAAGAGAGCCGTGACAAAGCAAGTGTGGCGTACTGAGAGCTACCTGTCAGAGTGATTCTACACGCAGGACCGTTTGTGACGGGTGCTGTAGAACGGATGTGATGTTGTGTGACCGTAAGGGTTGAGGGAACGTTAGTAATCACAGGTTATGGATAAACCCTTTTGAATATATGTCACCATCTGAGACTTTGTGCAAATTGGTATGAAAACAAATTGCCTGTTCATTTACATTTACCCTCGGTCTGAAGTACCAGGAGTAATTGGGTGTTGAAAAAAAATGATTTTTTTTTTCTTTTTGTTACATACCTTCATTATTTCTTTTTTTCAACTTTTCAAATGCCTTTTTATTGCCCCACCCTTGTGTCAATCAAAAGGTATCTTGTTCTCTTGTTTACCAAGAAGAAAACAGTGTCAGTGTTTTCAGGACATATGAGAAATGTGAGGAGAACAAAGAAAAATAACAGAATGAACAGAGAAATTTTATTTATGTGTCCGTTTCTAGGTGTATATAATAAAATATTTACAAAAATGTGAGGGGTGTACTCACTTCTGTGAGATACTGTAAATGCTATGAAATTATCCTTAAATAATTTTTCAGCCATTTTATTCCTAAAAATACTGTATATAATGCCATTTCCATCACAAAATGCTATGAAACATATCGTTTAAAACGTGGTAGGAATGACAGTGGTGGAAATGTTCATTTCAGGAATTAATTTACATTCATTTCAGGGAAAAAAAGTAACAAAATGTACTTTTACGATGCATGCAAATTAAACTAGTGAGTGAAAAGTATGTTTTAAGAAAGTCTTTTTAAAGAGCCTAAGCACTCAGTTCTGGCATGGAAATAGATGTCAAACAGTATTCATCTTCATGTTTTGCCTACATACCGCTATGACAGAAAGGCAGAAGGGTTAGAGTAAAGTACATTTTTATCCTCACTACGCAGCATCTATCTGTGTTCCTCTGTTTTTGCTGTGCTAGATGGCAGATCGTGACAGGTCCATGCGTCTTACTTTTACAGGCGGCACCTGCACTTTTTTAACACACTGGATTGTATTGGCGCAGAACAGCTCAAGTATTCTGCATCTGGACTCGCCCATTCATCACTAATGCAGGTGCGTCAGGGTTCCTGGATGCCCCGGTCAATACAGCACCCATCTCCCAAGGCATTCATCAGCCCAGCCACCGGTTGGCAAGGAGACGTTTGTGTGATGGAGGGAGGCAGCTAAAACAGTACTTTAAGCCACTTTAATGGAGTGTCTTTTTCTGGCTGGATCTCAGAAGGGGCATATCTGTCTGAGTCAAATGCGGCAACCCTTTATTTTACAGTTGTCTGCAGGAAGGCAAAGTGATAATTAATGTGGTGAATGTGTCTCCAAGTGTGAAAGCAAGGGTGGAAGTGAAAGTGTACATGTGTGAGAGTGTGAGTGAGAGTGGGAGCGAAGTTCTGTGTGTGAAATTGAGTATGAGAGATAGAGAGATGGGTAAAATGACCAGACACCTATAGTAAGGTACCGTAGGTGTAGAAGAGGACTCAGATCTTTCTCAGGTCTTGCCAATGGTGTCACGACAGGCGCAGCATCCTTTATGTAGCTCTAAATGTAATTCTGCCTTCACCTCTGCTATATACATGAGTAAACTTTAGCTCAATACTGTGGTGGGCTGGTTGTCAATTGTGGGGGGAAAAAAGCAAAACAAAACATGCTTATAAAGGTGTTGAGAAATTAGCTTAGCAACATTTTAAGGTTAAGCTTCTTGAGCACTTCTCATTCATTACAGCTTAGAAAAAGTGTCTCAAATCAAAAGAAAGCGTTGTATCCATTATGGGGCTCAATCAATGCCATTCAGGGGCTCATTTTCAGTGTCAAATGAGGCTTTATTTTGGTTCTAATACTGCATTAGAAGGTAGCTATATATTAACAGAATAAGTTTATTAGTTTGCCAAATTTTATGGAGTTTCTTTTAAATTTTGGTTTGTAGCTACTTGCAACTAAACAATAATTATTTTTTGTTTTTGTTGTCTTTATGTTTCACAGAGAACGTTGCGAGCCCATTTGTTACCAACAAGAGTTACCATTTGTTGCACACTGGTTTATTATTGTGCTGCTTTCAATTTCATATTTTCCTGCCCCTTCCCTTAATGTCACACACAAAATGTCTGTTACAAAAAAAAGTAACACCTGAAAGTGCTTTATTCAGGCTTGCTCATAGTATCAACTAAGTAATCTCAACATATTTTGCTCCAAGATAATTATAATTTGACCTTAATATCCAGTATCTAATATAAAGAAAAAAAGAAGAAGAAGAAGAAGAAAAAAAAGTATCAATCCCTGGGACATAAAAGCACCTAGCTGAGGAAACACCCATGCACAAGCACCTGCAGATGTTTCAGTGTTTACTTGAAAATATGAATGAGTGTACAGTGAATTGGTTGGTGGTTAGATGCCTGAATTCAGCTCCATGATTCACAGTGAGAGTTACAGTGTGTTGTGGACAGAGGCACAGGGCACTTAGACAAACGAAGGCACGCAAATAACAAAACAAATTTACATGCTTATTTACAATTAGAATGAGAAGGAACATGTTTGGTGGCTGCCTGTTTCTCATGCTCATTATTTTTCACCACTGGGTGAACAATGGAAAGTAAAAAAATGGAAACAAAATAATCAAAAATGGATCTGTCAGACCTTGCCAATCCCTATCCATACTGGGGCTCAATCAATGCCATTCAAGGTTTAATTTTCAGTGTCAAAATTATGCAAAATGAAAAGAGCAAATATAATCAAGTGAAGACCTTTGAGTGTTGTGTTAAAAAAATGAACTCACGTGGGATTTTGTGCAGTTCATTCATGAACTTGTCTTTGACTTTGGAGAACATCTCATCTTTGGTCTCGTGGGGACCGGGTCCTGCTGCCTCTGTGCTGTTGCCCGATACCTCAGGCACCGCACTAGGCGCAGGGTTTCCCACCAGAGCCTCCCTTCGACTCATCGCAGGATGTGGCAGCCAGGCAGAAGCTAACCCAGGAAAGACAAAAGAGGGTTACCCATATTATCTGGAATATTAATAAGGAAAAATCAGGTGCACATTCACAATTCTTCCAATATCTTTGTATGTTGATAAATGTATTCCATAAGGATTTGTAGGTGCAAATTTATTTTAGACAGCTATAGGACAATAGTGGGACTTTTGATTCATTCCACTGATTTGAATCTTTTGATTCTGTTAACCCTTTGAGCGGTACGGTCCCACATATAGGATTTTTCTTTCTGTGCCCTTGGGAGTACGGTCCCACATATGGGATTTAGAATGTTCGGTGAAGTCACATAACTGCCAAATTCAAACTAATTCAAATGCATATTTTAGGTTTCAGACATTTAAATACACATAAGTACTAGTAAAACAATACATTTAGAGTTTGTAAAATACACACATATGTCTATGGAAGCAACAATAACAATCCATTCAAATTTAATTTGCCGATGTGTTTTATTCATATCAGATACACATAGTGTAAGTAACTATAAAGTTCACTCTATTCTTCACCCAGTTCACCAGCCACTTATTACTTGTATTTCGGGAGAAATTGATGAATTCATGTGCTGCAAATCCGACTGACAGGACTCTCTGAACTGCGGCGCGAACAGACATGGCGGAGCCCATCTCACGTTACAGATCACAATCAAGATCCTTTAGAAACGTTTTTAAACGACAAAACACACTCATTTACACATATTTGTGAATCGGAATATCAGATTGTTCATGACATTGTAAGCAAGTTTGTGAATATTTTAAATAAAAAAGGAAAAACAAAATAAAAGCGATCTATCTGTCATACAGTGTTATTCTGGCTGCGGTGTGTCACGTGACAAGCATGACGCGCCGCCATGGAAACAGTAAGGGGAAACGTTCTAAAAGGGGTCACCTTAAAAAAAACTCACTCTGGGGGGACCACTAGAATATTTTGAACTCACCACTGAAAGGGTTAAACAAAGGTTTATTCAGACTCATCTCAGTGAAAGTTTTTGTAGGTTACGCACATGTGGAACTGAATGAACATGCCCTATTTTGTTTAGTCATTATTGGTTAGAAGATTCTTGGTCACAATTGATTATTCATTAATGAACAGAATTCTCTTATATAGTGAGTCTAGTTCAGACACAAATCACTGATTTTTCCAGTGAAGGGGTGTATTTGTTAACATACTGTAGCTTGTTCAAACAATGAAATACTCTTTCACAGGCCACACAGGAAATTGCTCAAGTCAAAGCAGTCACACACTTTATAAAGGAAAACCAGTGCATGAAGTGAACTTAAGTCATTCACTAAAATATTAGTTCAAAAACACTGGGCTGTTCACAACACCACTAATGGGGGATATAGATAGAAGCAGATAACGGGTCAGGAAGTGAGAGATGGAGTGAGAATGAGAAAGATGAAAACTCGCATCTAATTTAGTGTGCGAGGAAGGTGGAGAATGAGGTGTGATTTCAACGGGAAGCCTCGACTGCAGCATGGACTGAACGAACACGCTGTGAGGTGTGTTTAGCTGTTTAAACATCCTCCTAGCCATCCTTCCTAATCTCTCGCTTGCGTTTACTCAGTCCTCTGTTCATTTACTCACTCGCTTGCCTACAGACTCTCTCTGCCTCACCAGTTCATGTGCAGTCAGTGTTATATCTCTCTCGCCAGTACCGGCATGACCCCAGGAGGTCCTGAAGGCCCACGGTAGGTCGTAGAATATGTGCTGATGAACAGCGAGCAGACTGTGAGCCTTGTGCTCTTCTAGCCACAGGACATGTAAGATCTGCCCATTCCCACACAGCTGGTGTCGCTGCCATTGTACCTGCTCTGTAATTACTGCCATTGTCAATCACACAGATGGAATAATAATAGATGGAATGAATGTGGCAGGTATGAAACCTCAAAGTTTAGAGGAGTCAGAATGAACTTGCACTAAGTTTAATTAGACTTTCTATTGGGTGGAACAGCTCTCCTCCCTTCTCTGCAGGTGACTGTCCGGAAACACTATAAAACCATTGGAGCTGTTGTCTTGAACAACAGCTATTGTCATCGCTGTGCTCACGTCACTATGGTGACAGCAGGACTGATGCGTAGTGGGTTTCTTTTAGTTTGAGAGAGCGTTCAAGGGCAAACTAGAGATGTAATTTCAGAAAATGCTTTAAAAACATTTCAGAAAATGGGGTGCTTGGTGTTTGGTCTGACATTTTGTATGAGCTATCAGTATCAAAACAATGGCCAGTGCCTGACCAGTCTTCCATCTTAGACACATAACAGCTAGATAACCAACTACAAAAATCCTATAGAAACTGATTTTGAACAGCTGGATGGGTAACCAAAGCTAGTGTGGCATAAAACAGTTGTATACTTTTTTTCAGGACTTTTTGATGAATAGAAAGTTCAAAAGACCAGAATTTAGCTGAAATGGAACATTTTTGTAACATTATAAATGTCTTTACTGATTGACATGCACAAACCGTCTCAAACTCCATCTTTGCATATGCTGTGAGTCTGAGTTGCTTAAAACGTTCATCTGGGAACACTTTGCACCATTCCATCAGCTTTATAAGGTACTTGGACAATCAAGATGCCACCGCAAATGGCAGCCACGGCGCTGAGCTCTGCAATTCTTCTGCTGTTTTTGTTTGTTTGTTCTGTGTTTAGTCATTCTTCTTCTATACATTTTACCAGAGACGAACTCCTTAACATTAAGCAACACATCCCAGACTATATTTTTCCGGTCTTTGATTATTCAGACGTCTTGATGGACATTCTAGTCTGAGGTGCAGCGGTGCTGTTCAAACGCACGTACAGACGCAGAAGAGGGAAGCGTGTCGGCATTCTTCTCCTCAACTCTGCTGCATTGTGCTTCACTGAAACCTGGCTGAGTGAAGCAATTGCGGACAACGCACTTCATCTGCTGGGCTTCCAGCTGTTCAAAGTACGCATCTCTTTTAATCTTTTTTTGGAGATTTTAACAAAGCAAGACTTTCCCATGAACTGTCAAAATACAGACAGCACGTTACATGTCCCACTCGAGACAGTAACATATTGAATCACTGTTACACCACAATAAAGGATGCATATCACCCTGTCCCACAGGCAGCTTTAGGGCTCTCTGATCACTGCCTAGTTCATCTCATACCAACCTTTCAGACAAAAACTGAAATCAACTAAACCTGTATTAAGGATCGCTAAAAGGTGGACTAATAAAGCAGAGCGAGATTTACAAGCCTGCTTTGACTGCACTGATTGGAGTGTTTTCGAAGCTGCAGCCACCGATCTGGACGAGCTCACAGATACTGTAACTTCATATATCAGTTTCTGTGAAGATACAGTATGTGCATTCCTACCAGGGCATTCCTATCATTCAATAATGATAAACAATGGTTTACTGAGAAACTCAAACAGCTTCGTCATGCCAAAGAGGATGCTTACAGAAGTGGGAATACAGTCTGACTAACAAAAAACAGACTAACAAAGGAAATCAGAGTGGTTAAAGATAGCTACTCCGAAAAGCTGAAAAAACAGTTTTCAGCCAACCAACCGGCGTCAGAATGGACTGGTCTGAGGAACATCACCAAGTACAAGACACCACCTCTGCACTCTGTGGAGAATCAACAACTGTCTGACAATCTGAATGTGTTTTACTGCCGGATTGAAAAGCCCAGTCTCACACCCCACCCCCGCTCTGATCTACACTTCACACATACACCTACCCCACCTGCAACCCCCCTCAGGCGCTGCTGAAACAGTTCTACTCGGCCATCATTAAATCAGTCCATCCTGTGTTCATCCATAACTGTAGCTGAACCAAACCAGACATTAAGAGACTACAACGGACAGTCAGGACTGCTGAGAGGATTATTGCTTCCCCCCTGCCCAACCTCCAAGATCTTTACACCTCCAGAGTGAGGAAAAGGGCTAAGAAACCCTTTGGACTTTTAGACCCCACACACCCAGCCCACTCTCTCTTTCGGCACTACAAAGCACTGACCACCAGAACAGCCAGGCACAAGAACAATTTTTTTCCCCACAGGTTATATTCAGTCTGAACAATTAAAACGTTCCATTTAATACATTGTTCATTATAACTGACACATTTATACATAGCATCTAAAACATTTTATCTTTGCAAACTACATAAACTGTACACTTGTAAATAACATATATGTACATTCATTAAAACAATTATATATGTTTTTTCTCTATATCTCTACTTCTGTATTATATTGCATTATTTCATTTTCTGTTTTTCTTATATTAGTGTTGTATTTCATCTCTACTGTGTAATTTCTATGTATGTGTGCATCATGTATGTTTGCAATATGTCTGCACTTTCTTCTGCACTGGAAGCTCCTGTCACCAACACAGTTTACTTGTGTGTAAACATACTTGGCAATAAAGCTCTCTCTGACTTCAGATTACTTGATTAATACTCAGAATAATCGACCAATTACTCGATTACCAAAATAATCGTTAGTGACAGCTCTATTCACAACATATATTTTTTACTGGGATATCCTCCACCTCAGTATAAATCAAAGTACCATAGTATTAACAGTAGACGCCATCAATGTACCGTATTATAGCCACAGCACTTTTTTATAAGGGATAAAGATGTTGACTAACAGCTGGTCAAGCCTGTGTTCTGCTAGCCACAAACTGATGCTAATGACTTCACCACACCCTAACCAAGCTACAGACTCTATGGGGAAGTGTCTACATATGTACACAGCAGCAGCTGTGTGGTCTGCTGACACAATAGGGTGTGAAGAGCACAGGATTCGACAGCTGTGGCACTCACTAGATATGGCTAGCTTTGGTTATGCATCTTAATTCAGTTCAAAATCAGTTTATATGGTATCTACCTACCATGTGTTTAAGATGGAAGACTGATCAGGCACTGGCCTTTAAAAAGCTAGTTGTCAAGTCTGGGCTAGTCTGGTTAATACATGGTATGCAACAAAATGGACAAGCAGCTAGCATTTCTCAA